TTTAACATGTCTGACACCCATACAGTAAGACAAATGGTGGGGGTGTAGTAAGGAAGTTGGGGGAAGCAGACCAGAGTCTTTTGTCTCCTCGAGGACTCTGGGAAGTAGCAAGGGAGTGTGAACCTTAAGGTATGAAACAGCTGTGTACTGCCTTTTGTTCCTGAAGAAGGTATTTAACTGAGAGCCATGCTAGATTCAGAGAACTCTGCTGAGCGTCTGTCCCGCGGACATGCAGGGGCTCCATCAGGCTTGATTGTCTGCTGTCTTTGTGTGTTTGGATTAAAGAATGTTAGCTACCGCTCACCGCTCATTTGCAGGCTTTATTTAAGTGCAAAATTTCCACAACAATATATATCTATCTCTATATTTATAGAGATAGATATATAGAGATGTAGATATAGACACCTCAAACAATGTGGTAACATGGCACTAAATACAATAGACGTCTTTTGTAGCAAAGATGTGACTGTCATCAAACCAGGATGTGGTGCTCACACAGGTATTGTTAATAATATCTGGTGCAAAGCCCATAAAAACGTTTGTGTCGTTTTGGGTAGCATGTGTGAAACCAATCTTGCACTTCCAACACTCTGACCTCTCTTATGAACTTGAGGGATATCCCATTGTTAATCTAGATGTCAGCCCGCCTTTGCAGATATAACAGCTTCACCTCCTCTGGGAAGTCTTTCCACAAGGTTTAGGAGTGTGTTTATGGGATTATCTGATTGTTCTCCCAGAATTGTATTTGGGAGGTCAGACTGGTGTTGGACGAGAAGGCCTGGCTCGCAGTCTCATCCCAAAGGTGTTTTTTCTGGTTGACCACAGAGGTCGGGACTCTGTGCAGGCTAGTCAAGGCTTCCACACCAAACTCACTCATCCATGTCTTTATGGACCTTCCTTTGTGCACAGTTGTGCAGTCTTGTTGGAACAGGAAGGGGGCATCACCAAACCGTTTCATCAAAGTAAAGAGCATGAAGTTGTCCAATATGTTTATATTAGCTTGTAGTTAGGGCTGCATCAGCTGACCCCGAATCGACCCTTAGATACGTTGGAATAGGCCTAAGCTGCTGGGGGCTTCCCCTCTGTGTTTATACACCCCTCTGCACTTAATCACTAGTTCACTAGCTGGAACAACATCCTTATTTTAGGTTTGACAGCATTTTTATTAGATAATGGTAGATGGTTGAGCATGAAATGAGGCTGCGGTTTGGAGAGTGAATACATTCAAAGGAAGAGGGCGAGTGGGGCACGAAAACAAAAAATGAACAATGTGTAGTGCTGGGTGGGTCATATGAACCAGAAGTGTTCAATATGTGTCCTTAGACATTTTCAGCCCAGAAAGTTCACTCAGTCATTCAAGGAAACTGAGCACTAAGTCAGAAGGAGAGCAGAGTAAGTATTGACTTCACCAAGTGGCCAAAAACATGGTTACAAATATTACGATCATAGTCTGTGTTCGTATGTCTCTTCTATATCTCCGCCTAGACTCCTAAAGTAATCTGGATAATTAAAAATATATTATCAACATTTTTTTATGTATAGAATGTTACATATAACAATATAACACTCAAATTCATACAAATGATATCTCAAAAAAACATCAACATTAAACGTATGTCTGTGAAGGTTCTCAGTCATCCAGGTCATCGTAGTCAAAGGAGCTTGTAAAGAAAAGCGTCTGGACTTCTTTAAGTTACTTGAAGACGTTTCACCTCTCATCCGAGAAGCTTCTTCAGTTCTAAGGTCAA